GCCCCCACCAGTACCACCCGGAGGTCATGCACACAGAGGGCGGCACAGACACCATCCGCCACTTCCTGCTAGACGTGAGCCGCGCGGGGCTCGCGGCAGCCCTTGCAACCCCAGGGGACGGCTGGGACGGGGAGGGGATCCCTGTGGTCTCAGTTGCCTTATTTCCCCCCTCTGACTTCAGCCCGCTGCCTGGGCACTGGCCAGTAGGGAGGGGTGGTGAGAGAGGAGGGGAGTCAGCGGGGTCCTTGCTCTCAACTTGCGGCGGACAGAAAGGGGTGGCGGCTGCATTCTCCCCCTTTTGCGGCTGCAGGAGACCTCTCGCACCATACACAGTTCAGGCCCTCAAAAACCATCCTGGCACCCCCTTCCCCCCCCAAAAAAATCACGATGATGACGTTACACAGATCGCTGGCCTCAAGGCTGACTGGACCATGGCGGAGGTACTGGAGACCCAGCTCAAGATCATCGCGGAGCAGGTGGGGTGCCATTCAGTTGGCAGCTAAGGAGCACAGACACCAAGGGTCGCGTGCGTGCGTGGTGGAAGAGGTTCCTGATGCGCCGAGCGCTTTGCTGCGTGCTTTCTGCAGGAGGGGGCTGGTCGGCGGCCCGGGCGCGCCTTGCCCCTTTGCGGCGCGCGCCGCCAGTGTTCGGCCGTCCCCTGCCATCCTCCCACCCGCTTGTTCCTCAGCCCCCCTGGTTACCTCTCTCTTCCCCACCCCTTGCCCACTCCGCCCCATCCCCACCAACCCGCCCACAACCCCCACACCCCCCGTTCCCAGGTCGGCCCCGACGAGCACGCCATCTGCGCGCTGTCTGGGGGCGTGGACTCCACCGTGGCGGCCACCCTGGTGCACAAGGTGCTGGGCGACAGGCTGCACTGTGTGTTCGTGGACCATGGGCTGCTGCGACACAAGGTGGGCACACCCGCGGGCTCCTCCCCGCGATGCGACTCCGTTGTCGTCCTCTCTGTTGCAAAATTGATGCCTTGGGCTCCATTGCCTTGGGGGGCCGGCGCCGCTTCCACTTCCACGCTGCAACCCTTTTCTTTTTGTTGTCGGTCGGCGCAAGGGACGCGGGTGTTCGACACTCGGTGCGCCGGCGCGGATCTGGCCCATGCTTCGAGCGCCACCCTCATCACCACCCAACCGCCGCGACCGCCTCCACTTGGCACTCAGCATGTCGCGTTTTTTTTTGTTTCGCCAGCCCGCCCCCTTGCACAATCTCGCCGCGGCGCCGTCCCCCCTATACCCCGCTGCCCCGCAGGAGGCGGAGCGCGTGATGGAGACGTTCACGCAGCACCTGCACCTGCCCGTGACGCTGGTGGACGACAGCGCGAAGATGCTTGCCAAGCTGAAGGGCGTCACGGACCCTGAGGCCAAGAGGAAGTGCATCGGGGGGCACTTCATAGAGGTGCGCGCCTTTTCAGCGCCCACTTGTGTGTGTGTGTGTTGAGGGGGGGGGGTGTTTTGTGTGTGTGTGTGTGTGTGTTGAGGGGGGGGG